AGAGGTTCCCAAAACCCCATGTTTGGGTACGATGAATTTGTTAGAAAGGTTCACAGAACTCAGAGAAATATGTTACTTACTAGATCACTCATATATTGTGAAAAGATATAGCTCAGGAACAGCCAAATGGAAGAGGTACATAGGGCAAGGTACGAGGAAAGGGCGGGTGCCTCCATCCCCTCTCCAGGCGTACCATTCTCCCCGCACCTACACGAGTTCACCAACTTGGAAGTTCTCCAAAACTCATCTTCTTCAGTTTTTATGGAGGCTTTGTTACATGGTCATAAGTGATTAATCATTGGCCATTGATAATTGATTGAACCCTCCAGTCCCTCTCTCCTCAAGAGGTGTAGGGGGTGCTGGAGCTGAAAGTTCCAACCCTCTAATCACGTGGTTGGTTCCATCAGCAGCCAGAACCCCATCCTTAGGTACAGCCCCAAAGCTAACTCATTAACATAACAAAAGACACCTTTTCCCATTCTCAGCACAGAAATTCTAAAGAGTTTCAGGCGCTTTGAGCCGGGAATTTCTCATGCCTCAAGTCCTTACATTTCTCATGGTCTGATAATGGCCCACCTGTGGCATTTTCCAGTTTGATTGACCTCTGGAAATACTGTCAGCTGCCTAGCCATGTCCATATAGGCAAGAAGATGTCACGAAGTGACTTCAGGGGCATCTGGAAGCACAGCCCTTTTCTTGATGCCAGCTGTGTGCACATGTGAGCATGCAGCTTATGCCCAGCTCCCACCTTGTCTCACCCAGGGCAGGAGAAGAGGCACACAGAACAGCATCAGGAGGAAATAATCAAACTGAGGGTCCTCATGATTTTAATTTGTGACTATAGCTTTAGAAATAATTTTTTTCTTCTCTCTTCCTCTTATTTCATCTTACAGACTTAGCCTTTCCTCTTGATAATCCTTAACCCCTAAGGCAGCAGGAAACAATAGCCCAGACCTGACTTATGGTCACAAGGACAAGGTCTGGATGTCTGGCAAGCTAAAGAGAACATTTGACCCATGCTATGTTTCAGCTCCTGAGTGCTAAGGTGGATCCCTTGGCTATTTTTCCATGAAATCAGACAGAGAGACTGTGGAGCTGACCTCAGAGCTGTTCTCAAGACTTGAAGAAATGACTTATTACCCTATGTCAGCTCCTAACATGACCTGGAACCCCTAACCCATGATGTCTTGTGATTTTGCCCCATATAACTTGAAGCCTATACACCATCAGGGAGCCCTGTCTTCCAGTGCAGGGTTTCATCCATACTCTGGAGTGGCCAATGCTATAATAAACTACTTCTTTCCTTCACTGCAAACATCTGCTTGTGTATTTCTTTCAGTCGGTGCACACAGGTGGACAGACTCCAATATTGAGGGTTGATAACAGTAACACTCAAGCATTTGCATTTGTTTGAAATTTATTTCTAGTATTTTCTCCCTCTTCTACTTCTCTCCCACCCTTCCCCGTAATCCGCTTGTTTAGTCAGAGGATGATTATTATGATGTCAATAGTTTTTCTCATTGATGACAGGGGGAAAAGGCACCATTGACTTTTCTAAAAACACTTGTCATGTTGATCCTCCCATAAAATTTGAGAGTTGGCTATGGTGTAATTACTAACAAATAAAAATCATATTAAGAAAAAAGATCTTTCCAAGGCAGTTAGTTTATAATTTGTTCACAAGAACTGGTGCCTTTAAATACACAATTAACCTAAGGCTGGGTTCCTCATATAGCTAAACCATCTATCCATTTTTTCCTCTGAAAAGTGGAAACTGCAGTTTTCCTTTCTACTTGCAGTCCTTCCAGGAAATATTCAAAGTCCTGACTGCTTTATAGAGGGTCCATGCTAATCCAGAGATGGCTATTATGCTACAGTAGTCACCTAAGTCAGTTCCCTTGAAAACAAATGGGGGATGCAGTAAGTAGCATTTACTTTTCCATAAAAATAAATCGACATAATTATAATTTGATCAAGTAGTCTTTCCAGTTTAACAGGGCCTGAAACTAGTCTGTTGAATGAGGGCCCATGTTATAATAAGTACTTGAGTTGAGCATACCACTAACATCTGCAGAAAGATAACTATTAATTGGCTTAATTGCTCTGCCCAGGAGAATAAAAAATGTATTTAGCTCTTACTGGATATAATCTCATTATCATAATGCTATGCATCTTTATCCTAATGCTAATCCTAGTTCCTTGGTCTCCTGTAGGCACACAAAATCTTCCCATTAGCATCAAAAGTGCAGTGATGCCTACTTATTTGGAAGTGTTTTTACAGATTTTACAAATAACTGAGAGAAACAAACTTTTGTCACAGAATTAAAATATTTAATGACAAAATTAGTCATAGTGAATCATGAGCAGGTGTTACTTGTCTCTGAAAGAAACAAAAATTATATTTGACATCTTAGAGAACTTCTGAAGAATTAACTGTACAACAGACTTCAGCAGTGTCATAATTCTAAACATTGGAAGAGAAACCTATCTTCAATATCCCATATTTAGAGCATTCTGTAAATATTTTTACATAAATGCACAACCTTTGCTAGCCACAAAAGTAGTATTAAGACAGATTTCACTGTAATTTGAAGTCTAACAAATAATCTTTATTTTTTTCAGAGCTTAAAAAATGTTAACTACTGATCCTGTTACATTTTACAAATACATTCTTAATATGAAACATTAACCTGAATAACTGTATAATTCCTGTACACTGATATCTAATAATACTAGTGAAGGATACTACAGCTACACTCCAGGAACTAATAACACTGGGAAATTTCTTTTCCTTATGCGTTGTCAACACAATTTAAGAAGTCCTTCACAAAAACACAGTATCCCGAAAACTCATAATGAGGTACAGAAATGAAACAAACAGAAATTAAATGTCTTCTAGCAAGCTCAACCAAATGAACTGGTCCCAAATAATGTGAGTCATTTTAGCAATTTTCTCTAGGTTAGGTTTTATCAGTATTTTGTATTGCAGCACCTTCTACAAAAGGATAGCAAAGAACTTCATGTGTGTCATCACAGGACTCCTGTGCAAGAGTTCAGGGGGTTGAGGAGGGACGGGGACTGCTGTTCTGGCTTCTCTGTGGGGTGAAGCCCTATGTATGACTTTGACAGTGGGAGGTCAAGGTCATGACCACAGCCTGGAAGCAAGTGAATAGAGGAAGCCAATTCAGAGGTCTTCTTCTAACCCAGGCTTTTTCCAATAAGGCTTAAATCTGAAGGATAGAGGGAGAGTGAGGAAAGAGGGAAAGATGTGGAATTCTTATACAGCAGTACCCCGGGTTTCGAATGTAATCTGTTCCAGAGACCGTTCGAGTTCTGAAATGTTCGAAAACCGAGGGATCCACAGCCACAGCTGGGCCTCAGGATCCTGCGCTCAGCGNAAAAATTATATTTGACATCTTAGAGAACTTCTGAAGAATTAACTGTACAACAGACTTCAGCAGTGTCATAATTCTAAACATTGGAAGAGAAACCTATCTTCAATATCCCATATTTAGAGCATTCTGTAAATATTTTTACATAAATGCACAACCTTTGCTAGCCACAAAAGTAGTATTAAGACAGATTTCACTGTAATTTGAAGTCTAACAAATAATCTTTATTTTTTTCAGAGCTTAAAAAATGTTAACTACTGATCCTGTTACATTTTACAAATACATTCTTAATATGAAACATTAACCTGAATAACTGTATAATTCCTGTACACTGATATCTAATAATACTAGTGAAGGATACTACAGCTACACTCCAGGAACTAATAACACTGGGAAATTTCTTTTCCTTATGCGTTGTCAACACAATTTAAGAAGTCCTTCACAAAAACACAGTATCCCGAAAACTCATAATGAGGTACAGAAATGAAACAAACAGAAATTAAATGTCTTCTAGCAAGCTCAACCAAATGAACTGGTCCCAAATAATGTGAGTCATTTTAGCAATTTTCTCTAGGTTAGGTTTTATCAGTATTTTGTATTGCAGCACCTTCTACAAAAGGATAGCAAAGAACTTCATGTGTGTCATCACAGGACTCCTGTGCAAGAGTTCAGGGGGTTGAGGAGGGACGGGGACTGCTGTTCTGGCTTCTCTGTGGGGTGAAGCCCTATGTATGACTTTGACAGTGGGAGGTCAAGGTCATGACCACAGCCTGGAAGCAAGTGAATAGAGGAAGCCAATTCAGAGGTCTTCTTCTAACCCAGGCTTTTTCCAATAAGGCTTAAATCTGAAGGATAGAGGGAGAGTGAGGAAAGAGGGAAAGATGTGGAATTCTTATACAGCAGTACCCCGGGTTTCGAATGTAATCTGTTCCAGAGACCGTTCGAGTTCTGAAATGTTCGAAAACCGAGGGATCCACAGCCACAGCTGGGCCTCAGGATCCTGCGCTCAGCGGAAGCCGCGTGGCATGTTCGACTTCCGAGGCGTGTTCGAAAACCGAAGCATTTCCTTCTGGGTTTACAGCCTTTCGAAAACCGAAATGTTCGTCAACGGAGACGTTCGAAAACCGAGGTACCAGTGTATTTGTGAAAAGTAACGATCACAATGTGAGCAGGAAGGAAGGATCTCACATCTCACGGTATGCTTATGACCTCACCCTCCGCTACTTCAGAAGCGGCTCCGCAAACACTATTGTTAGGTAGTTGGCAACAAATTACATTTTAGAGTTTGGCTTATTGTCAAGGGGTTTTAGATTTACCTTTTCAATTATTTATACCAACTGTCTACCTCTGAAGCCAGAATCCAATTTGGGAAGATGAATATGTGTGTGTTTTCTGAAATGAGATTTGCAAACAAAACCTATTTAGAGGGATATTTTGGGCTTTTCTTAGAAATTATAAATGCTTCTCATGATACTCATCAGATAGAAAATTTCTTTTTTCTTAAACTTTTTACACACCAAAAGTACAAAATATTATAGTAAACTTATATAGTTTACCATATAAATTTTACAGTCTTTTAGAATTGGATCATCTCCCTAAGAGGATTCAAAAATTTGTCTATGGCAAATCCTATCTCCCTTTTGATACGTACTGCCTAAGATAATTTTTCCCCCCAATAGCCCAACTTTCTATCTCCCCCAGAATGTGCTGTCAGGTGAACTTAAGTACTTAAATCAGCATAAATAATCCAAAAGCTACCTTACACTGCTACGTAAGAGGCTACACTATACCTGAACTTAATTGGATCCATGGATAGGAAGGGACAGAAAGGGTCCTGAAGATTCACGCAGCTTAAAAATCAATGCGCTGCAGTGAGAGGCTGGCCATGTGTCTGAATGTGCAGCTTGCCTCCTATTTCAAGAAGACACAGCATGGCTTTTATGTTTAGCATTTTAATCCTCTAAGAAACAAACTCCCAGACTCTAATACTACCTCAAGCAATACAAAATCATATGTGTGAACCAACTTTTTTCAGTCTGACTGCGAGGTAAAGTCTTCTTAACTGTGCTGTTTCCGTCAGACCTGGCAAGCTGCAATTGCCATGAAATGAAATTTGTCAAGAAACCCATATTTGAAATGACATTAAAGAAATAGACAGCAATAACAACATCAAAACTTCCAAAAATCAGATACCAGGAAACTGAAGGCCATTTCCCAAGGACATTGTGAGGATGTCTCTAAAACAGACATGACTTTGTAAAAAGAAAAGAAAAAAGGTTTTAAATGTAGTATCTTTTCACATTATCAGTTACACAGACGTCTATCTGGACAAATCAATTCTTGATAAAAATCCAAGCTTTTTTCAATACCAGCTACTGGAATTTGGGACAATGACAAAAAGAAGCAGCCATAAATGCACAGATGTTTTTAAACAGGCTTTTTCTTAGGTCTTTAACCTCACATTTTTAACCTTCATTTGATAATTTCAAATAATCAGCCTAGAAACATGTATTTAAACTGTACCTCAGAAAGGAGATTTCTATCTGTGATTCTGATCTGTTCTTTTGAATGCTAGTGATGGCTCATGCAAAAGATTACTACATAAAAAGCAAAAATCTAAGACTGCTGTTTCCCCCGATAAATCCAATTGTTTTTCATAATACAGATTTGTTTCTCAGGGTATAGAATCTTAACCTTCAAATTAGGAGTAACTAAGAGACTGAGTGAAGCCAATCACCGCTGGACTTTTATTTCCAATCAGGAACAATAACATCTGATGTCACCATATTCAAATGCCTTCCTGTTTAATATTAGGAAAAAAATACATGATGCCAGTTTAGAGTCAGCTCAGTATATCATTTGGTCCAAATTTCATATTCAAACTACCACAAAAAAACAAACTTTAAAAAAAGGGGAAACACATACATACACACATATACACACAGTGGAAAAAACCAAAACCCAAACGAAGCTGTTGCTATTGCAACATTCTTAGCAAGATCATTAGGGAAATGTATAAACACAACACCTTTTTCACATTAACATCTTCAAAAGAAAAACAAAACCCTTAAATGTCCATATATTATTGGAAAAAAGAAGCAAGTGGAGGTCTGGAATTCTTGTAAAAACTGCTGAACAAACTCTTCCATTTCTCTTACGAGGGCCACCAGGACAGGCAGTTCCTCAGCATTTGTGCTTCATGGCAAGCTAAGGAGAGACGGGTGAGAGAAGAGGGAGATGTTAGAGATGTTATTGGCAGCGGGAGGTCAGTGTGCTCTGTCCCCACGCCCACATGAGAAGCAGCACCTCAATTCTGCTCGCTGGGGCCGACGCCAGTACTATGCACAGTGGCATCCAGTAAATGTGCAACGTTTTCGCAAGTCATCCATGGAGCACTGCATTTGTTACTCCTCCCGACAGTAGTTTTGTCAGTGTACGTGTCCAGGTAGGGGAGAGGGCTATTGTGGTGTTCCCTCATTCCCCTGAAGAAACAAATGGAAAAGCCAAAGCACAGGAAGAAGGGGTGACCTACCCTAGGAACAGGTCAGGGTAGATGAACAAAGGCCTCTGGGCTCCCAGGTTACTAGTTACCCAGGAAACCCACTACTCTTCGAATGTAAGTATTTACTGACATCTCCTAAATATTAAAAATCAACAATGGCAGAGAAACAATTTTTGTAATCGACTCAATATCCAACCTGAACATTCAACCAAGTCCAAAGCACTTGCTTAAACCATGTTAGGGCTGAACAATAGACCAAGTCCAGACCTTGATTTACTATTCCTCCCACCGGTATTTGAGAAATGCACTTTACTGAAATGTTAGATAGTTATAAATGGAACACCAGATACCACTATATCTTTCAACATCTTCCCCGGCCCAGCTGGACCCCTTAATGATATATTTAAGGAAATGTATGTAGATATGGACATAAAATTAAACCTGACATTGCTTTCCTCAGCCAGATCTTTTCCAAGGAGCCCAGAGGCAGAGTTGAGGTTGAATTGTAATTCTTCATATGTCCAGAGTCTGACCTTAGGGATTAATCCCTAAATTTGGGGCTGGAGTGACTGGGGGTAGGTGGCAGGGTTCTGGGATTGAGAATGGTTTTTGAGCAACGAGCAGGTGATTCTATGTAGGCACTAACTTTGTAGAAAGCCCTGTCATCTGCTTAGTGACCAGGTTCTCGACACTTGAAGACACAGCAAGGGGAAACCCCCTGATCCCACCCAGAGGTGCTCTGCATCACACCAGAAGATGTCGAGGGTTCATTTTCCAGTGTAACACAAGACAGTCCTAGGCTCCCCTTCCCCTTCTTGATGCCTGCAACAAAGAAGTTATAACCTGGGCTACCACCTCAGCTAAGTCACCCGCAAGAGCAGCACCAACATTTCTCTTGCAGCTGCTGCTACACCCGGGCCAAGTCAGCATGTGATGGAGAGGAGACCGTGGACCAAGCCCTCGTGTTGCTAAACTAATTACTCTGCTTGGGAAACCTTGGCTGAAAGAGCTCCTGGTGCCTCTGTCTGGTGAAGACAGCCTAAGCGAAGACCTCCACAGGCCTTCTGTTCTGACACCCACAGTCAGTTGAAGGCCAGACAGTGCTTGCGAAGTCCTGAACATGCCCAGGTTGTGTGCTAAGTGCTGTGAGTTTTTGCCACAAGGATGGAGGTGGCTTATAACTCCTGACCTCAAAGAGTTTATGGGAAACATGGTGGATGGAAATAGTAGAGCCAGGGCTCTCCCTCCGATGCATCCCACTCCCCAGCCATACTCTGAGCCCCTCTGTGTATGGCCTCACTTCTTGGTCTGTCTTCAAGTGTTTATACATTATTTAGCAAGGTGGACCATTCATATCAACACAGAGCTGTTAAGTATTGTGCATAATGAATAACAATCATATATATTTGATCAGTGTTGCTGTCCTGTTATTTACTGAGCTCGTAACCTTCACAACTAGTGGGCTTGTGCCAGTTTACCCAGTCATTAATCTTCAGCAGCCTTGGTGCTGCTCACACCAGGCCCTGGTTACCACTACAGTGGGTCTGGACCCACACAAAGGGAGTCCCAGCCAGGCGGGGTGTGGCCCGCTCAGCTTTGCAGAAATACAACTGGATTGGACATTCTGTTATTTGAGGTATTTTTGTAGAAAGTCAGAAAGCTGTATCACTTTGATGCTACCTAGTTTTTTGTTTTGTTTTTTAATTGCTTGGGAGTTGGAGCTAGAATATGGAAGGGGGAGGTACTATTGCTTCCCTGCTACAAGTCTGGTATATGACCTTGAGCTCCAAAGTCACACCTGCCCTGTACCTCATGTTTATAAATATCATCTCCAACTCAAATGCTATGCATTAATTTAGAAGTCAGAGTTCCTATAGAAGAGTTGTTTAAAATTTCCTTTTGATATGTTTTGTTTACTTAATATGTCATGGAAAGCTTTCTCTTTCAAAGCTGTGTAAACTACTATACCTTAATAATAATAATAATAACAACAACAACAATAATAAAATCATTACTTATACTGAGGGACTCTTTAAAAGGCATGGATTTTTGAGGTCCCTTCCTGCTCAGAGACCCAGAGGAAGAACAACACAGAGTAAGGAGAGAAGCAGCCATTCCCTGCCAGTGAGACAGATGTCACCTACCACTCCCTCCCCCATAAACGTGGGCTCATGAAAACAGGGCGGATCACTGTTCCTTTCTGCAAGAAATGTCATCTGAGGATGCTGGGTGTGGGTCCCGCTCTCGCCTGCTGACTCACTGCCTGGCAGGCCTTAGAGAGCTGCACACACTTCAACGCTGTGCTTTTGGGGCAGGGACAGTCAGCAGGTCAGCTCTGCGACTGAGCTGCACTTTCCTAAGGGCTGAGGCTGTACCAAGCCCACAGCTCAGGAAGGAACCTACTTCCTCACGCCAGGCTGACTGAGCTGCGGGAGAGGGCGTGGGCAGGAGCACTTTTCATCTGCTCTACAGAAGTACCCACACATCTTGATGGCAGGGTCATGCAGAGGTGATCCACTTGCTGACACACTTGGGTCATTGCAGGAGTACTGGGGAAAGCTAGAAAGCTGGAGATCCCTTTCTACTGCAATCTGGAAAGGTGGGCTATACTCTCCAGCTAGAATTGCTGCCCTGTCCAACCAGGAAACATGAAGAACTGTCACCTGGAATTGCCGTTCTCTGCTCAGGGCTCTAACGTGTGCACTCAGTCTCCACTTGTAAATACAGCCCACTCTTTATGAGCCAACACAGCCACGTTTGTCTCGGAGGCAGGGCTGGAAAGCCTGGCTTCCATCTCTGAACTCTCTCCTCACCAGCACGCATGGTGGGGTCCTGACTAGCGAAATGACATCTTCAGGGTCAGCCTACACCAGTGGGCTCAAATCAGGAAGTCCCAGTCTCTGGGAAAATAGCCACACCTTATCTAAAGAGGTCAGCCTCCTCCTTAGGAATACTGCCAGTGCCCGTGATTCACAAGCACACGACCTAGTCTGGCTCCGACAGCGCCTCCCTCACACTCCCTCAACAGACACCAGCAGCCCCTCTCTCTCCTCAGAACCCCCACAGCCCACAGGAGGGCATGTCACTGGCTGGCACGGACCCTCTTAGTGGTAAAAGCCAGAGGCCCTTTTGCTTTTGGTGGGCTAACCCGTTTGTTTTGTTGGATCCTATTTCAAGGGCTGCTTTGTGTTTAGAAAGCATCAGCATTTAGCAGGAGGAGCTCCCACCCCCTCTGGAGGACATAACATCTTCCCCTCCAGGCCCTCCCATCCCTGTGTTGGGATCCTCGGGCTCATTTCTACACCCTCCCTCTCCCCTCACTGTGGTCATTATGCAACTAAATAGGGCAGGTTCAGCAGAAACCATTGTTATGGACATAATTATAACACATATTAACTTAGATTTATATGTGCTGTGTATTATGTTAATAGATTTATAGGTTTGAATTCATTCAATTCTCTTGATACCCTTGAAGATAGTACTAGTGTGAATTAGCCATATTTTACTGATGAGGAAACTGGAGTTTAGAGAAATTAAGCACTTGCCCAAGGTCACTGATGAGTAAATCACTGAGATGGTAAATCAAACAGAAAATGTTAACCACTATGCCATACTGCCTTCCCAGCTGCTTAGCAAACTTGGCCATGATACCAGGGAAACAGGGCGACCAGGGCCAAGAATTCTGGCCACCTGGTTAGATTGTCCAGCCCAGTGTTTGTGTAAGTTCCTCTGAGGGGGACGCCCACATGGATGACCTCCAGGTATTGTCTACTCCACATTAGGAAGAGCGATTTCACAAACTTCCTTGGTAACCTGGTTCATGGTTTAATCATTAACTGAAGCTCTTGTTTTAGCGGAATTTTACCGGTGCGCTATTGATTGCTCTACTCGGTGTGGTCAAGCACAAAAGAGAATCGCCTGTACTGTCACCCTTCCCACACTCGAAGACAATTACAGATTATTCCTTTTAGCTTTCTCTTCTTCAAATCAACACTTTAAAAGTTTCTCCAGACTTCCTCTACCTACCCTTCATTTAAATTACTAAAGTTGCTGCTGTTATAAACGAAGCCGGGGCTGGAATCCTGGCATTTCCAGCTCATTGTTGTTTCTGCATTAGGAAGGCTGGAGAAGGGATTAAGGGACAAGAGAACCATAAATCTGAGCTCTCTCCCTCTGTGACAACCTCAATCAGGACGACCTGCATTTTCCAATAGATCTGGCCCATTTTCCTCTGGGAACCCTAAAGGGGGCCCCAAGGCAGCAGGGCAGTAAGACCCTGTCATGATAGAGAAGATGACGCAAGGAGACAGGCCTGTGCAAAGGGGCTGCAGGAAGGGAGGCAGGAAGCTTCCACTTGGAATCGGATCCGCAGTCTGGTCCAAGCCTGAGCCCCACGCCTGGGCTCAGCTGGGGAGATTTTTCTTATTTTTCAGGTTGTCTATTCTTGTTTCCTCTGCAAAAGTGGGGTTTTCTGTTGCAGCACATTCATCCCCCCTCCCAAAGGTCACCTGAAAAGCGTATCTGTAAGGTCAGATCATGAGCCTGAGATGCTGACAGTTATCAGCGGAAAAGTTGTTTCTGGAAATGTAGATTCGAATCGCTGGCCAGCTCTTTGATCTAAAACACAAGAACAGCAGTAAAGCCTCTCTATCATCAGACTAACAGGGACTCTTTCCTTTGGTTTGTGACTGCCTTAGATAGCTGGCTGCCAATAAAAACTCCCCCTTCCCCTTCTGAAAGGTACCTTCTTAGTGAGGGTGTGAATGTGGACGTGTGTGCCCACTGTCACGGTCACGGGGGAAATGCTTTCCCCTGAGCTCAGAGGTGGGAGGGAGCCTGGTGGTAGCTCTGCTCTAGTCAGGCCAGCTTGAGAGGTCCACGGCCCTTACAGCGGGAGGCTAACCCCGAGCTGCACTGTGCCCTGGGACTAAAACTTCATTTTCATATGGTGAAAAGATAAGAACACAGGATGTTGAGCTCATGGCCGGAAAGAGACAGCAAGGAAAAGTAATCACAGCAGCCCAAAGTCCTCTTCTAAGCACTGGCCAAGGGAGGGGGGATATTCTGGGACCTGACCTCTTCCTTCCTCCCCAAAACTGTTCTCTGAGACTTGAGCCCTAAACTTCTGGGCAGGAATTAAAGATGGTCCACATTTCTCAAAGATCCAAGGTCAGAGATAGGGATGAAGATGTTATAACATAGTGAAGGCTAGGACAATTCCAGGACAAAAGCAACAGAGAAACTGAGACAGATCGTTAAACAGCAGTTTGTAGCCACCTAGTAAATCCCAGCTTCCCTAAACCAAGGACACTTGAGAGTAAATGGTTTGTGTTTGGATGGGCCAGGTATAGAAATCAGGGAAACTCACCAGGGCAGGAAGCCCCAGATGCCTTCAAGGGGCAAAACTGAGAAAATAAGAACTTTGTCCCCAGGGTAACCTATCCTCCCCCAGCATATCGTTGGTCGTGCGATTTAGACCCCCTGAGCTTTCCTCCCTAAAGATAACATCTAGGCCTCAGTTGTGTTTCCACTCCAGGCCCAGGTAAGCAGTGAAACCAGACAGGTGGCACCCTGTAGCTGCCTCAGGACCAGATATGTTGACTAATGACCTTCCTGCCCTGGTGCTGACCAATCAGTGGAGACCTTGACCCTGAAAGAGCGCACCTAGAAAGCTGATGAATATTCTATTGAGATCTTCCCCTGAGACCTCTCCTAAGATTTCCCAGCCTGCAAGAAAGAGATAAATACTCTCAGGACAAAGAACCCAGGAAGCGTTGTCCCCCCACCCCAGGGGAGCACGCCAGCACCATTTCCTTCTCTCCCCCAACAGGTCCCCATGAGACTTGCAACCAGGAAAGCAATGGGCGGTGGAAGCTCATCCGGGGCTTACCCCTGGAACCTGTCTCCAAGGCCCTCTTCTCTCTCTGACTTCCCAGTGAGCCAATGCAGCCCAGCCTAGGCCCTCCTGTTACTTCTAAGCCCTTCTTTGTTTCATGATCCTAAGTATATTTTTGCTGCAGCCGATAAATCCTGGCTTTCTTTTCTGCACTTTGTTTCGTCATTGAAATCTTTCTCCTCCTGGTCTCCCTGGTAACAAAGACGTCAGAAAGGAAATATCCAAAGAAACAGGGAGAGGAAGGAATCTTTTATGACTCTGGTACTTACTAAGTAGCAGATGGAAATTGTATAGAGGGGGGGAAAAGGCTTGATTTTGTATCTGCCATCACAGGAGACACGGAAATAAAGTTTGCAGGCTCCCTGATGGCCCAGGCCCAGACCTCTGCTGTCTGCAGGACCCACCTTGTGCGCAGTTTCTGCGAACTGCTGGGCGCTGTTCCTCATGTCTTCCGTCTTCTCCTCTGCTCGGCCTAACCGCTCCCCGCGCTCGTTCAAGGCCTGGCTCGCTTTCTGTACGGCGCTGGTCACGCTATCGGCCGCTGAATGGAGGATGCTGTTTCCTAAAGAAGGGCAGCAAGAGGATCAGAAGCTGGCTCGGCTGACCTACAGCCACAGGCCCCTGCCAGGGGTGAGCACCTGTGAGAGCAAGGCAGCTCGCACTGCAGAAAGGCCCAGTCAACATTGCTCCTGATTGGGTCTGACCCACTCACTTGCAGGAAAAACACCTGCTGGCGGCAGGACCTGGGCATATGTGGAAAGCTGCTCTCACATCCCCACAACCACCACTCCATTCATTTCCATTCCCTGACATTCTGATGAGGAAGCATAAAAGGACTAGGTCCACTTTGGGACTTGGCTTGCAAATGGAAATGGAAATCCTGACAAGTTCAGAGAACCAGGCAAGTTTAATGAGACACATCTGGATCTTATGTGTCTTTCCCCTGGACCTGGGGTTTAGGTGAATGACCACAGGAAAGCTGGGGGCACAGGACTTTTCCAGATATAATGCTCTGTATTCCTCTCAACTCTTCCTTTCCATTATCCCTAAATGTATGGCTCCAAGAAAGAAGCTCTGAATCAGCCTCAATGTCCGGAGTAGATGCATCACCTCGCAACCTTGAATCCTGAGCCGTGGCTCTGTTGGTTGGGTCTCCGTGCCTCTAATCTCGAGTATATGAAACATGGAGCCTCAACACTGCACTTAGCCAGCAGGTAGAAAACAGTGAATCAGCCTGGGGAGAAGCTTAGCACTCCCGGATTCACGAGAGATGAATCCGAGAAAGTTGGAAGCCATCATGTTTCAAAGGGTTAGGCATCCCTGACACCCACTTGGCCCGGAGCGGGAAGCAGAATTCAACAGTGATGAACTGGCAGAGGCATAAACCCGACTAAGAACAAGCATCTTGCAAAATGACAACCAAAGGAAATTTATACCTGCATTTTGTTAACATTAAGTGGAAGATACTTAATAACATTTAGTGTAATAGCTTTATGTCTTTGAATAAGTTTATTACATCATTTAACTTTGTACCTGAGATGGATACATCTAGCCACAGGCAGCTTTTAATAGAAATGTAATTTCCTCTGGTCTCTGCTGCAAAGGCTTCCTAATTTCTCCTGTGTGGGAACAGTCTGTGGTTTGTGGAAGAAGATCACAGGCAGAGCAAGTGCCTGGCCCAGAGGAAGCACTTCATAAATTGTTTACCATTTTTCTTCTTTAGGGGTGGATTTCCAGGGCTTACACTGTGCGCTAAAGGAAGGGGAATGGGGTTAACTTAATATTACTCAGTTGCAGCAAGCACTACAAGGAGCCAAGATAAATCAGCACAGATGAACAGGGGCCAGGGGAGATGAGGCTCTGGAGAAACCTGGTTGAATGCAAGCATTGGAATGGAAGGTCTAGGTCTTCAGAACAGATTTAGGAGGAGAAATCTTGGTCCCCCTTTCCTTCAGGTTATGCTCATGACTATGATGACAGCCCATCATCACTGCCTAACATTCCAACAGCATTCTGCAATCATAAAGCTCCTTCACAAATATCATCTCATTTGTCACAAAAATTCTACTGCAAAGGCTGAGACTAGTTGAGGTTAAGTGGCTTGCACAAGATCATGCCACCAGGGAAGGAACATGGCCAGCACTGGAACCTGGTTTTCCTATGACTTTTCCTTATTCTATACCTTCCTCTTTGAAAATAGGGTCATGGGAAGCAATCACTATGACAGAATTGCAAGCAGACAAGCATAGAGAGGTTTTGACAGATTATTTCCCAAGGTAATGCCTGACTGTTTTTGTCCTCGAGGCATTCCTCTTGGTAAATGAAGAATTATTGCCTGTGCTGCATTGCAAGCCAAGTGTTCTAGAGAAGAGGGCACTGGGATGGAAAAGGAAGATGCAGGAGGGATGGGGGGGGGTGAGGAGGAGTGGGGGCCCTTTTCCTGCTTCCTTCCACATACCAGAGGCAGGGGAAAGATGGGGCCAAGAATCTGCAACTTCACAGCTAGGAATAGCTGCAGTAAAGCGAAGGGATTTTAGATAAGCTCTCATAAAATAAGGAGGGTATATAAGCAGTACTTGTCTTTTCCTATTGGAATTGACCCTCACGGTATTCTCAAAGCTCAGACATATCTGTGTTTCTGAAATGATTCCGCTATGCATAAGCCATGCTGCTTTCTTGTCATGACTTCTGTAAAGTTAATCTTGTGCATGATGTCAGGTGACACTGCACCCTCTTTTATATGATATGATTTAACCAAGAGTCATTATAACTAAGAGAGAACCGAATGCTGTCTTCACTATTCAAAGATGACACTGCTGACTACTATCAATAGAAAATCTACCTTTGGTTTCTTTCGTGCATGAGGATAGATTGGAATAAATTTTGTTGCCTCAGTTGAAATGACCTCTCCTGGTTTCAGTTCTACCCGTATTTCAGGACCAGTGAAGTCCTGTCACCTTGATCAAGCTTCAGGGCAATTCCATTCTTTCCTTCCCCTCAACTCTGGGAGAACTGTCTATGTCCTTCTTGGGTGCTTAACCAAGTACAATCATGGGCAACTCTTCCACCTTATTTCTTCACCTGTAGATGCAGTGACTTCCCAGCTGGATTATAAATCCCCTGAGGACACCACTTAACTCTACTGACCATTCCCTAAATCTTGAATTTTCTCCTCTTGATTTGGGTCTCCTGCTTGCTTACTTTCTTCTCTCTGGGGTCTTCTTGCTAATGCTGTAATTCAAGGGTTCTGTCCTGGGCCATCTTCTCTTATGTACTCTACACACTCTCCCTGGGACAATTTTATTCAGCTCATGGTTTTAATGGCCCAATTTTTATCTTTAGATTGTGCTGCTGAGCTCCAGACTCTTATGTTTTCTTACTGAACAACTCCAGGTGAGTGACCCAAACTCATTTTGAAATCAGTATGTCTAAACATGACCCTGTTATCTTCCCCTTCACAACTGCTTTTCCTTTGGGGTCTCCTGCTCAGCAACTAACCCTACTATCTACCCAGCTCCTCAATTCAGAAGTCTAGGAGTCCAGTCTACATTCCTCCCTCATTTTCAGCCCATACAACTAAGTCACCTGCTACACAGCCCTCTGCTCTCTACCATTCTTGCCTTCATAGTTAGTTATAGTGACAGCCTTTTGTCTAACTGTCCCCACACCCTTTCGAGTAAGTCTTCCACACTTTTACAGTAAACTTTTAAAAGACAAATCTGTTATCACCTCCCCACTACTTCAAGATAAAAGTGAGACTTGTGCTTTGCTGGTCTCTCTCAGCTCATCTGGGAATCCTGTCCATTTCCCCTTCTACCTAGCATTTTCTAATCCCACACACTGCCAAAATTTTCACGAATGTGTCATGTTTCTTTTACCTACATGCCTTTGTACTTATTGCTACCTCTGTCTGCAACTCTGCTTCTCATATCAGCCCTCTCACTTACTCCTAAATTCTTCAATACACTTCAGGCCTCTTTCCTAGGAAATCTTGTCATGTACAGCCCATCCTACCCCCTGCTGCCCTCAACACACACATTATCTTGTGTTTATTTCAAATGGTATATTTATTTTCCTGCATGTAATCATTGGATATCTAGTATGAGCTCTTTGAGGGCAGAAACTGTGTCTTTCTCACTTCTGATTCCCGATCCATGGCACACAGTAGACACTTAATAAATGCTGGTTGACTTACAGGCAGCAAGTAAATATCATCCCACTTACGATTTTTTCATGCCTTAGCAGAGAGTTGGACACATAACTGATGCTTTCACATGATCTAACTAGGTCCTGAAATTCTAAATTTGCCAAATGGTTAAAGGTTTAGTCTGTGTCTAGTGAAGCTAATTATCTCTTTTAGAGATTGTGCTAGGAATTTAATGAATTAAGTCAACAACAAAATGCAAAATAGGAAATGCTTTTGCTAAGTAAAGGGGAAGTATATAAAAAATTTATTGTTACTAGCTTTAACATAAACACTGTAAAGTATAAAAATAACAGAAGTTAAAAAGCTTAATAAATCCAATGCAAAAATGACAGTTACCTGAACACTTACTATTTCTAGGCACTTAATAAAATCTGCTCTTCATAACAACTTATGTGATGGGCACATCATCATTTTTAAAATCCCATTTTTACAGATGGAAGCAGCACTGTAGAGAGAGAGGTTTAACAGCGTGCCAGGAATTATACAGTAAATGAATAGTAGAGGTTGGTTTTGAACCCAGGAAGTCCAGCTCCAGAGCAGTTCTCTTCTCATGGGAATTTTCTTATACTGAGATTAATGACACAGTCTGCATGAGCTGTATGCAAAAAAACTTCAGTGTAGTAATGCATTTCTTAAAATCATAATAGAAAACAAAATATCCTGTCCTTATTATAAATTAAAAAAATTACCGTAGAACATTTAGAATACACATTGTTATAAAAAGGCAATAAAATCATAAAATATTCAACTGCTTAGAGATAACCATAATTTATATTTATGGTACATTTTATTGTAGTAATTTTTCTGTATATGCTTTTCTGAAACATGGTTGAAACCATACTATACATATTCAGTTATATATCCCATTATGGGTACTTTCCCATGTCATGAAAAATTGTTTGAAAATACTGTTTATAATGGCTGCATTATACTATTGTAATTTATTCAACTATTACTCTTTTAGATATTTGGTGTGTTTCTAAGTCTTACTTTTTATAAAATGAGGCTGCAGTTACCATCTTGCATTTACACACACACACACACACACACACACACATAACCTTTGCCCACATCTCTGATAATTCCTAGAAATAAAACTGCTGGTTCAAAGGACATACACATTTTTGAGGCTCTTGGTGGGTGCTGAAAATTGCTTCCCCGAAAGATATGTTCAACATTCACAACTATTCATTTGACTGCATACTGTGTGCCAGGCACTGTTATGTTGACACAGGTGGCAGAATGACTTTGAGGGAGTGACTTCAATTCTCTGATCTTTAATTCCCTCATCTGTACAATGAGCATCATACCATCTGCCTCATGTGGCTGTTGGTGAAATGAGGACAGAGATGCAT